AAGGAGAAGGAGAAGAAGGAAGAAGAAGAAGAAGAAGAAGAAGAAGAAGAAGAAGAAGAAGAAGAAGAAGAAGAAGAAGAAGAAGAAGAAGAAGAAGAAATAAACATTTTTAAGGATTAACTGCTCCTTTCAAAAGACCCACAGAAATTGACAGTACAATTATCCAAATCATTCTCATAGCACACCTCACCTAAATATATCCTTTTCACTATTTCCTTTGTCCTTTTCCTCACTGAAGGCTTTCCTTCCCACTCAACAAATTCTTTCCCTTTCACAGTACCTATTGTACCTTTTAAAATTTTAATTACTCTTTCAAGTTCTTACACTAGTGAGATAATACAATGTTTGCACGTGTGGATCTGATTTATTTCACTTACCAGTATAGTTTCTAGCTGCATTAGTTTATCTACAAAAACCTCACATTTATCTTTTTTATAGTTGAATGAACTCTATTGTGTAAAAATATCATTTCTTTTTTAATCCATTCCTCAGTTAATGGGCATTTGGGTTGTTTTCAAGAGTTAGCAATGACAATTTGTGTTACTATAAACATGGGTGCACATATACCACTGTGGTACAATGTTTTTAGTTATTTTGGAAAAATACTTAGGAGGCCAAAGCCGGTTTGAATGGGACCGCGAATCCTAGCTTTTGAGGAAACTCCACACTGATTTTCATTGTGATTATACCAGTCAGCACTCCTACCAACAGCGGAGAAGGATTCCTTTTTCTTCACAGCCCCTCTAGCATTTGTTATTGGTTGATTTCTTGATGACAGCTATTATTTCTGCCTTAAGATGGAATCTAGATGTTGCTTTAATTTGACTCCCTTGAATGACCAGTGGTGTTGAATAATTTTTGATATATTTATTTGACATTTTTATCTCTTCATTTCTGGAGTGTATATTCATCTCAGATGCCCAGTTTTGGATTGGTTCTTTGAATTTTGGAGGACTGATTTTTAAAAATTCTTTGTATCTTCTAGATAGGAGTCCTTTGTCTGAAGGACAGCAGCTATGATTGTTTCTTACTTTGTGAGTTATCCT